TATGGAAAGCATGGATGAATTGCTAATTAAATGTATGAATAAATATACCTGTGGAGGCATGGTTGAATTGCCAATGTATAAATATACATACACGGAGGCATGGTTGAATTGCCAATGTATAAATAAATATACTTATGGAGGCATGGTTGAATTGCCAATATATAAATAAAAATATTTACAATGGCATGGTTGATTTGCCAAAGCATAATTACGTTGTTATGTGTTAGATGATTAAAATATCATCTATGGTTGTTGTATGTATGGATTGGATTAAGGTTAGATATTCTTAAATGAGAATAGTTTAGTACTTACTGGTTAGTGTATTATTTTACATTAATAAAATAATATTGGGGAAGACGTGGATGATTTGTCAAAACTTGGATTTTGGATATGTGATTTAAACAATTAAAATCATTATCGGGTTGGGATTAAATAGAGTATTTCTTTTATTATAATTTGTTGTTTAAATGATTAGACAACTGACTAGAATGGGATTAAGGTCAAAGGAGTTTTTATAAAATGAAATGGTAGATTGGTCTAGGTATGAATATTATTTTAATAATTATTTAATAGGTATGAAAATTTAATAAACCTATTAATGGATGTGATTAGTATAGTATATATAATTATATATAGACATGTATATCGTGCTTTATTAAAGTTAAAACTTTATTAGGTTTGGTTTTGATCAGAGATGATCTACTTATTGGTTTTCAGAGGCCTGGTAGAGTGAACTTGCTCGTAGGGTTTAACCCACGATTTATTTTTCAGGTTATTAGAGGTTCCAGTCTCGAGGTTGAGGATCCGCAGCTGGGAGACTGTCATTCGTCTATTCATCTTGTGTACTTTTAAATAGTATTGGATTATTGGATAATGTTTTAAGGGGTCCTTGAGTTATGGGATTTCCGAATTGTAATTGTTGGAGAATCATTAAGTAATATTTATTTATTAGTTTTCTTCAGCGGTTTATTTATTCTTTATTATTCATCTTTGTATTCTGTGCTTGTTAAATACTTAAATTGTTTTGATATCCCTTGATTTTGTGCGCGGACTTGATCAATCCGTGTTCCAAAATTAGGGGGTATCACAGTTGCTTCCTTCCACCACCACTCCCTATACTACTACCGCTTTCCACCTCTACTACCATTCACCACCGCCGCCATTTCTTTCAAATATATATATATATATATAAAAGAATATTATTTTGCTAATTTAATTTATTTGAGGGGTATTTACGAGAATTCAATTTGAAATTCATTTCATTCTAAATTTTAAATTGATCCAATCAAATACTAAAATGATTATTATCATTTCATTCATACACATTTCATATTTGCAACCAAATATATTGAGAATGATTATTTTATTTCATACCATTCTTATTTGCATTTCATTACATTGTTGCATATCAAACACAACATAACATTATAATTTAAAAGACAAAAAAACATCACTAAACTACCGTCTTTCTCCTTGGTCTATAGTCCAAAATTCCAAATTTGTGCAGACATTTTTCTCCTTCTTCTACGTCATTGCTTACATTTTTATGTATGTTTATTATTATTATTTTTAAACCTGTCTGAAAGAAAGAAGCAGAAAGAAAGAATGCCCCCACAAAAGCTAAGAAGTAAAAACAGCCAAAGGGGCTAAACCGACCATTCAAGGTCAGAGGGGTCATTTGCTTACAATTGGACAGATAAAGAAAACTTGACTTTTTAGGCTGCGTTTCGACTGGACTTGGACAGTGAACTTAGACTGCTTTAGAACTTTCAAACAAACACTTTAGACTACTTTAGTGAAAAAAAAAAAAAAAAAAAACAAAGAACATTTCTTCATCTTTTCTTTTATGTGTTTAAAAAGTTACTGAAATCTCAATTCTACTTTTTCTTTTTTTTTTTTTTTAAAAAAAATTCTCATAAATTAGGACAAGAAAAATTCAAATAAAGACACACTTATTCAGAAATTAAGACACTCGATCAACTAAATCATTAAATAATATCTAAAATAATTAAATATTAGAAAATGATATTTTGTGTTACTACTAAAAGAGGGCAAAAGAATTTTAGATCAATGAAGGGAAAGAGAGTCTCGGTTTATTTATAGTTTACTCATAAATAGATTTGATCATATAAACACAGAAAAATTAATGTTCACTTAAAATTCGTATGACCAAATTGCCCTTTCGCCTCTCACATACTCAACTTCCACACATGGCATAAGAGAAGTCATCTGCTATTCACCATTGACCATCCTCTTTGATCTTCTCTTCCTCTGTTTAAGACCATGGAGGTGACGCGCTCCATAAACCTCCTTTAACGCTCCATTACGTTGTAAATCTACAAGCCCATAAATTATATAAATTTAAGGCTGTTTATAATCTTTTATATAGTGAATTCTATGAAAGTAATTGATGCGGATGTTATCGTTGGGGGGCAATGTTTCAAATATATATTGATTGAACTTTGAACTATTAATTAATATTTTTTCATTATTTGGAATAATCAGTACTATTTTTAAAGTTATAATGCACTATTGGTGTTTAAGTTCACTTCATTATATTTCATACACTATCATGGATTGATCCATATATATATATATATATATATATATATATATATATATGATAATCTTCGTTTTGCTGGTTGAAGAAAGGAAGAAAGAAAGAAAGAAAATGGCAGGTTATATATATATATATATATAATTCCTCAATAGTGATTTAAGATCAAGGGGAACAAAAAAAGGGAACAAAACAAGGAGAGAAGGGCAATTTAGGCATTTTGTTTAATAAAATAAGATTTTGGAGTACGAGAGGAAGTTTATGGTGCAACAACATCTCCCATTAATTTTTAATAGATTAAATATTTATATAATTAAGTGTATTAAATTCGTAATTTGAATATCACACAAAATATATCACTTAAGTAAAATTTTAAATGACATGAACAACACTCCTCATTAAATACTAAACATTCAAAATTTAGAACAATATTAAAAAATATTTATTTTTTAATTACTACTTAAAACTTAAAAAATTCAACACTGCATTAATAGATAAAAAAAATGTATTTTATTAGAAGGTACAACATCTATGTAAGAGTGATATTCTCCTTAATTTTCGAGGTTGCACAAGCAGATGAACTAACCATCTAAGCTTGGATAGAAAGAAAAAAGAGTTCTGAAACTTACGCTTTACCAACCACATGATCAAATTGCATGTAATTTGTCTATTATATGCTGGTCTATTCTTTTACAAGTTGGCACCATTGTGGCTAGACATCCAAAGCGGCCATGCCAGTGAATGTGAGACCGGAGAATTGCACGTGTCTAGTAATGAACTATGAGTAATTATTCTAAGAGATTCGATACTATCACTTGTTTAATAAAAAAGAAATGGATAAAGTTACCGTACAAATCATTAAAATTAGGTATTAATAAAATGTTAATAATAATAAATTTTTCTTTTTCTTTTTCTATTATTTTCATGTATCCAAACAGAGCCTTAAAGAAAACTTTTACCTAAAACACAAAATATTTTATAGTAGTAATACATGCTGGATTTTTTGTCTGGGTAGTGCAAAAGTTTTCAAAATTAAAGATGTGAGGAACTCTTGGTTACAAAATACCTTCTAAAACAATTTGCATAATTGGTAGGTATTTCTTTCAAATTTCTTTGCACTATGTCAATTGTATAATCTTAGACAATATTCTGAATATTATACTCTTGTTCAATCCCAAACTGTCTGATAATAAAGTCGAATTTTGTTGACACTAATGGCTAGTGATCTTATTTCAAGTACATACTTCCCATCATCCTTTGAACTTTCAGCATAAAAAGGCATTTGTCATTTCTCTTCTTTCTGCTGCTTTTTTATTCTATATTTCCTTTTTTTTTTTTTCTTTTTTTTTTTTTTGTTAATCCTAAATAATGAAAACCAAAAACAAGAACGATACTTGCCCTCAATGGTAAATCCAAACACGACCAATATAATAATTGTGTCAGAGACCCAAACATTGACCAGATGGCCTATTTAATGATGCATTTATCAAAATCAGACATTTATTATTTAGCAGAAAAAAATTAAAAGATAATAAATTAAAAGACAATTAGATCAAAACAGATAATGGGTTACGCATGTCATATTTACACTATTATGACACAATTACTTAAATGGATATAACAAGTTACATAAGTTAAATCGCTCGATCCGAACACGACACAATTAATTAAACGAGTTAATTATGTCAACTGATTTACGATCTAAACCTGCTTATATTTATCTCGTATCGTGTTGACAGATCGTGTCAAATTTTACCACCCTACTTATGCTTATCTCGTGTCGTGTTGATAATTTGTGTCAAATTTTATTACCCTGCTTAATATCATTGGATTACCTGTCTTCTTTATTATATATTAAAATATAAACAAATAAACAAGGGAATAATTTACTTTTTTTTTTCGAGTCAAGATGATACCAAATCCAAAAATAAGATCCAATTACATCATCATATGATAATATTCTAAGGACGAAGTTCCTTCTACGCGTCAAGAAGCTATTGTTCCTTCTATTTTATTCATCGATTCCTCCTAGACCAAACAAAAACAATCTCACTTTAGAACTCAAACGACCATTCATAACCATATACAAGTCCAGTAGAGCTTTGTTCATTAGAGTTTAGCATTATCTTAAGCAACAAAAGTACTAAACAAACTTACCAATCCTCCATGGAACTTTGAAAATGACCTGTAGATAATCCCTAAGCATTTTTGTGCACTAAATCCAGATACCCAAGTTAGAACTTTGAACTAAGCAAAGGTCTTCCATAAACTAGTTCGTTACAACCAATCACAATGCCACCAATCAATGTGTGTGTGTGCGCGCGCGCGCGCGCGTAAAATCTCTATCAATGTACAAAGTACTCGACGAAGAGGTTCTAGTTCTAATGCGGCGCGCATATTAAAAGAAGAGTGTGTCAAAGGAGAGACCATTTCTAGCTTCATAATGGAGGAAGTGTTCTCAACACCTCCTGCTACCCCTGAACATTTCTCATCACCTCCTGCTTGTTCCCCAAAACCTCCATTAGCTAATGATATGTCAATAGTGGAAGAAGGAAGAGTTTGTCATTCTTTGAGAACATGTTCAACTCTTGATTGTTCTCCTAAAGTACCATTCCCGTCACCTCTTAGATGTTCCCTTAAAGCAGCTTCAATAGCTACTGATCTATCATCAATCATGGAAGAAGGAAGAGCTACTCATTCTCGAGTGTCGACTGAAAACATAGTTCCTTCTCCAACAAATGCCCACAAGGTAAATTAATCTGATCATGATGTAATAATATGTATGAGCATTGTCGACGTTTTTTTTTCGCCGACACTGAGTGTAATTCACACTGCAATGTTGCTCAGATTATTGCTGAACTCCTAGGAACCTATGTAATTATATTCATGGGTTGCGCAAGCATGGTTATAGACGGTAGAAACATGCTTACCACCATAGGTATAGCGGTGACATGGGGCCTATCGGTGATGGTTATGATATATACGCTTGGGCATGTTTCCGGCGGCCATTTCAATCCTGCTGTAACCATTGCTTTGGCTGCATCAGGCAAGTTTCCATGGAGAGAGGTAAGAAACATATTCCACAATAAAGAGATCCTGAGTTTTGCTAATATATGAGTATAAAATTGTGAAAGAAATAAAGTAAACATCTCAATGAAAGTCTCCCGAAAAAATACAATCGAGTAGTTTTCTGCAGAGCATGCATGAATCATTATGAAGTACTTGATAAAAATCATTAATAGTTTTGATGTTTAAAGAAGAATATTGCACTTTATTGTTCAATCAAGAGTTGTCCGTAAATTTCTTTGAAAAGGGGATTTTTATACTGGAGGTTTTAGTAAAATGGAATGCTTCCAAACAGAGTGTAATAGAACAGTCCCTTATTGCAGGTACTAGGATATGTTGCGTCTCAGATAGCAGCCTCAATACTGGCAATCGGCACTCTGATTCTGTTATTTCATGGACCTGAAAAAAAAAACATCAGTTATTACACGACCACTCAGTATAATACGCGCACAACAACCGCTCCAAGAGCTTTTGCATGGGAATTCATCATCTCATTCAATCTGATGCTCACCATTTGTGGAGTTGCCACCGACAACAGAGCGGTATATCTTTCTGCCACAGTCACTTTCATTCAAACTTTTAGCTGTTAGAAAGTTGCTTTCTGATTTGATCAATGTCCTTCCTTCACCTTACTGTGATTTTATTATCCAAATCAATGATATTTTCTATATATAAAAAAAATTAGCCTGAAGAACTCTGACTTTTGTGGTTGAACCTGAGGAAACAGATCAATGAGCTCTCTGGAGTCGCTGTAGGAGCCGTGGTGCTGATCAACTATATCATGGCTGGGTAACAAGAAGTCCAATTTCTTTGTATTGTTGTTTTAATCAGTGTCTTCATCACCATCATCTTTCGGAGCTACCATCACCACACTGCCATAGTCAATTATTTTTCATAAAACAAACCATATATCACAAAAGTCAAAAGTGAGCTAATTGTTGTTTGTCTGTACCTGTGCAGGAATATAACAGTGGCTTCCATGAACCCTGCAAGGAGCATAGGACCTGCACTTCTTTTCAGGGAGTTCCAGTCCCTTTGGCTCTACATTGTGGCACCCATTCTTGGAACCTTGACTGCATGTACCATTTACAGTTTCCTCCGACCTCCCATGCACGAAAGATGCGATAAAGAGAGTCCTAAGAGTGTGTGAAATTTTCTTTGAGCAAGAAGTACGCACAGTAAGATGTTATTTAGAACACCTAATAAACCTCCTTAACAGGGTAATGCCTATTTACCTTTTGAGGTAATTTTAGATTAGAGTAATAAACTGTTAAACATTCATATTACCCATCAAGTACATTTTTGCTTATCTATCTTAGGAATATGAAACGTTCAACATTCATATTACCTATTGAATACTTTTTTTTTTGGAAAGTCTATCGAGTACATTTTTGTTTATCTTAGGAATATGAAACATAGGGAACTTAATCTAAACCAATTCTCATTCTTATTCTATTGTTAAACAATGTAAGGTGAAGAGTTTCATGCTCTTACCCACCCTTCAAAGGCACACATCTATCTTGATCTCCAATGCTTCTCATCAGTGAGGGAGAACATCATCTATAATTATGAGTGCCGCCTTTTATGCTGATTCTCTTCGGTAGAACAGGAAAAGAAAATTGGTGTGATTTAATGAAACAAGGTGCAAGGTGTGCTTTACATTAGAAAAAAAAAAAAAAAAAAAAAAAAAAAAAGCACACACCCTAGCATAGAATTACATGGAAGTAAAAAGAGTTTCTGCCACCATTTGCACCACTAAATAATTTTATTCACAACATTCAGCACCAGTGCATAACTTCTATTCACTAGAAGTGATACATTTGAGCACCAGATGCAACACATTCATTCACTATAAATTATAAATAAGTACACCAAAGGTGGTACATGTCTACAATGGTGCACAACGTCATAATACTGTTTAACATAAGTGTGCAACAATTTGCTATTAGAAGCGGTGCATAAATCTATTAACAAAATTTAGCATCTTGCGTAATTGATGTATTACTAGCAAGTAACAACAAAATTAAGCAACAGTGCGCATAATTTTGTGAATGACGTCATTCACCAATGGTAACTGTGACAGAGTTTTGATCATTTTGCTTCAAAGCCAAATAAGGCAAAATGGGAAGCAAAAGACTATGAATAGGTTTTTCCACCTCATTTTAATACTTTTCCTAACCTTTTTTTTTTTTTAACACTCTTATGACTCAATGTTACTATAATTGGGGATCTCTAGTTTCACCTAAATGTAGTTTCCCTTTAATAAGGATCAACCCAATTGATCCATATGCCATACCAGAACATATTTCACAGCTACTCAGAGATCTCCTTATCTGCTCTTAACTCCATATCGAGGTCACCAAGGATGAGCCCACAACTTAAACGAGAAGAGCAGACTGTCTGTGCTGATCACAAATAAGAGAACCAGAGGACTGAGCCACTGAGGAAAGAGAAACTTCACAAAGAACAATTTCTGTAACACTGACCAGCCTATATTATGATGTGACCAAGCATTAGCAAGGAAAGGCATCAGTTCTAAGACCTAGATCCAAAGACCAAGTAGCGAATAAGGGAGTTGTGCAGGAAGATATAAACGAAAAGAATTAATCAGTCACCTGCAAGTCTAAATTCTAGACAAACCCAACTTCTGTATATATAGTTTGCAGCCTTGCATTTGATAGGCAATGCATAATAAGATGGGGAGAGCAGCAAATTATCCAGGAGCCTTATTGTGACCTTACCAGATTGGTTGCATAACAGTTTTAGGAAGCATGTGTGAGAAAAGCATCTCAGATCTTACTTTAGAGCAGAGTAAAAATAAAAAGAAAAGGCAAGACATGTAAAAAGGAAAGGGTGGATGTGACTTGGCTGTAATGCATACATACAACCAATGTTTGAACTTTTAGTTCATGCTTCATAACACGCAGCATGCAAGTGCAATAGCAACTTAGTGACTTTGAAGAAAAAAAAACACAAATTTAAAATGTCTACCGAATTTAACTTGTCAAAAAAAAAAAAAAAAATGTCTAATGAATTTAAACACACACAAACACAAGATAAAGTGTAGAAGTCCTAAGTATCTCAAGGCTCAAACACCCTGCACAAATTAAAAAATCATCCACCTAACTATTTGGCCGGAAACTAACCAATTGGAAGATATTAAAGTTCAGTCCTGAATGTCGGTAGAGAAGGATGGATTCCTTGTTCGCAGAATTTAGAAGTACAAAAATAACAAAAAAATAAGGCGTAAATGCTCACAATCCACATTTGCATCAAGCCATCAACTCAAAATATAGATTATACTAATCCTTGATCAATGCACAAAACATAGTTTTTAATGCTTTCTTGAAGAAAAATCAGAATGTTACCTCTTCTACACAATGGAATGCTGCTCAACTTGCGAATACAATATCGAAAACAACAAATGCTCATTAGAAGAAAAAAAAATAAAACTTGGTCTCCAATTCACGTTTCCGGATTTGAAATATTAAGTGTGCCAAGACGTTCACTTTCTGGCAAAATCAACCAATTCGGAGATTGCACAGCTCTCAACCACCGAAAATCATCCACATTCGCCCAATTCCCCATTTCTTCATAAAGATTAGACTCTTTAAGATCAGTTTCAATGCCATCATAACACAAACAATATGGTGCAAACCTCACACCACTACTATCCTCAATTATAGGCCGACTCCGAACCCTGAGATAAAAATCACACCCTCTAGCATGATGAGTCCTAATCTGATGTGATGCCAAAACAAACACACAACCCTCAACTTCCTCAATCAAAACCGAACCCAAAACGGGTCCAACATAAACCCTACAATCCTTCAACTTATGAACAAACAACGCCCTCAAACAACCCGTCAATCGCACTTCACAACCACTCAAATCCGAAAGTGTGAACTCACCAATCTCAGAACCCTTGAACTCCTTCACCAAAACCTCATTTTGCTTACCCCTAAACCCAGGCAAATCCCGAACCTCAAAGCTCGGTTTTTTGCGTTCAGTTTCTTGAGTACCCAATTCGGGCTCGCTTACGACGACACTGGTTGCAGCTTTTTTGGTTTGTTTATTCTTGAATGCAAATCGCTTCTTTGGAACGACCTCTGAACTGACGTTTTCAAGGGTTTGTTTCAGATCTGAGATGGTTTCGAGACAGACTCGTACGTCGTAAGAGGGTAAGAAGTAAGAGCTCTCGGCGACGAGCTTTTCGAGATCGGAGATGGAGGCCGAGACCTTGTGGAGATCGGATTTTGAGCTGGGATTCGAGGAGTGAGAGTCGGTGGTGGATTGGCGAAGGCGGGCGAGATCGGAATCGATGGAGTTCTTGGAGTGGTTGAATCGGGAGAGGAAGGACTGGGTGGACTCAAACGAGTCGGGATTGGGATTGGAATTGGGTTCGCGAGAGAGGGATTGTTGTTGGAGGCGAGATTGGTGGAGGTTGGAGAGGCGTTCGAGCATTCCAGCGTGCTTGCTTTGAGCGGATGGGTCTAGGGTTTTCGTTGGGATGTGAATAGGGTTTGAGAGATCTTCCATGGCTGTTACCGGAAGAGAGGAGAAGATTCAGAAATGATTTGTTGGTCTTGTAACTTCTTCAAATTAGAGCAGATGTTTTAACTGATTCGGTTATAAAACGGCGTCGTGTTGCGTTTTTGGGGATTGACTACCTGATAATGAGAAAAGTATGATTGAAGACAGTTTTGTTTTTTAAATGGGTGCAAATTCAAATGAATCATTAAATACTAAAATGGTCAGGAGTATTGGATGTGTGTGTGCCATGTCATAAGTGGCCCACTCAATGATAATTTGTTATTTCAAAAAAAGTGGCCCATTTGCTTATAAAATTTCTTGATAACACCATAAAATGTTACGCCCTTTGTCTCAAAAAAAAAAAAAAAAAAAATGTCATGCCTATTTGTTTTTTATCTGTTCTAAAATAATTGTCACTTTTCTTTTTCAAACAATATATTTTACATTTTTCCTTATATGTATTTAGAGTTTAAAATTTCAAATTTTGAATATTCAAAACTTAGAAGGACAAATTAGTAACTTTTTAGGGAAACAAGGCATGTTTTACATGTCTTCTTAAAAATTCCTATTCCCCAAAAACGACATCTAAATTGGGACAGATGGAGTATATTTTATTGGGTGGGTACATATGACATCAAAACTTAGAAGGTCAAATTAGTATTTTTTAAGGGATACAAGACATGTTCCACATGTCCCATTAAAAATTCCTATCCTCCAAAAGCCACATCTAAAAAGCCACATCTAAATTGGAATAGATGGAATATATTTTATTAGGTGGGTACACATGGCATGTTTGGCGTACTCAATATCTACTCTATAATGAGATAACTCTCTTGAAAGTGACAGAATATGAAATAGGAAGAGAGTTTCTTTATATGGAAGGAAATTTTTAGGATTGAACAGTGGTCTGGTTCACTAACCCTTCCAATAATAATTTTTGCTATTGTCCAATATGCGTTTGGTATGTAAGAATAGAATGAGATGAATAGAATTATGGTGGCGTTTGATATTCTCATTCTATTATTTTATTGCGAATATGAAATGTTGTAGGAATGAAATGATATAATCATTCTAGTGTTTGTTGGATCAATTTGAAATCTATAATGGAATGAATTTTAAATTGAATTCTTCAAAATACCCGACAAATAAATTTAATTAATAAAATAATATTCTTCTTTAATTTTTTAAAAGAAACAACGGCGGTGGTGGTGGATGGCTGGGACGATGGCGGTGGGAGTGGAAGGCGACAGTGGTGTATGTTGTGATACCTCTCGATTTCAGAATACGAGTTGATCAGATCCGCACACGAGACTAAGTGCGATATCAAACAATTAATATTTTAAATCGAACACAGAATATAAAAAGATAAAGAAATAATAATACTGAATGGAAACTAATAAACAAATAATTAAATCTCCTCCAACAAAATCCATTAATTTTCAAAGATAAATAATAAAATTCTCGTAAAAATATTTCTCCAAAAGAATATAACTCGAGAATCGTCAAATATGGACCCCTAATAAAAATCCCATAACTGAAAATAAATAACTGTCTAAAAATTGAAATAACTAATCAAAAGATAGAATCCTACGTCGATGACACCGGAAAAGTGATGATGCCAAGTCTCTGATCTACACGAACAACTGCTAATCCTGTCACTGACGATGACCTGAAAAATATAACAATGGTAAGTCAAAACCCACAACAAGTCCTTTTTACGACAACCCAAACAGAAACCTGAAGAAAGTACACATCTATACTACATATCTATACCTAACTCATGCGATAGCTACATAGTCGATAAGTACATAAATATACACACTAAAGACTCTAACTAGACTTAGGTAAACTCAACCGGATAATGAGTATCTCATACAAATCGCATACAAAGGTAGTCACAAGTCCTTTTTCTACTAAGGTACACACATCCCTAAATCCAACTATCCATCTTAACTGGCAATATACGCTTCCGTCCTAATCACTAATCATAAGACTTCAAGCTTGTATCATGGTACGCATAAATATCATTAAAGATATAACTAACCATATCCTGACAGTAGTATCCAAACAACAATCATACCCATATCCTAACAATGGGTTGGAAAAATATATAAAAATATTTTTTAATAGCCATATCCTAACAATGTCATGTCATTCATATCCTGACAATGGCACAACATAGAACCACATACTAAAAATGGTTTTCAAATAATCCAAACATATATATATCATGTTCAAAATCATAAAATATAGATATGCAGTTGATTAAAATCATATTATATCATAATAATAAATAACATATAATTTCATGTTATTAAATCACAGGAATAACTTATAATTTATTTAATTAAAGCTTCCTACAACAATTATCTCAACATAAGCTGAACCCTAAGCATGCTAATATTCTATATTTACAGCCAATTAAGAGTTCCACAAACATATCACATGTTAAACATTTAATCTCAATTGTTAAAACAATTTAAAAGATTAAATCCACCACTTTATAATTAAATAAATTCTAGTTGCTTGCATCATTATTATCATGCCCATTTAAATTCAGGTATCACCTTCCTTAAGTCCCTATTTAGTGTTCAGAAACGTTAAATAATTAATTTAGGGCCAAATGGGACACGTTTACCCAAAAACATCACATAGTGCTTGAGCACTGTCCTTAGTGTGCTCGAGCACTATCCCATTAGTGTTCTAGCATTATTTCGCAGAAGACAGTGCTCGAGCATTATTTCAGAAAACTGCTTGAGAACTCCAATTTTTAGCCATATTATCCATTGTTAAGGGTCCTAAAGCATGTTACTAAGTTCGATGAACACCAAAGCACAAATTTACAACATTATATAACATGTAAAATCTATTTAAATCAGATTTAAGCCACGAATTTACCAATTCCTACAAAAAGAATAAATATGAACATAAACCCACAAAAACCTATGCTCTAGATCAATTTAAACATGAATTCAGATTTTATTAACCCTTTAATCATCCCTAAAGTTATACTAGAGACATATAGATCATAGATTTAAGGGAGAAGTGTAGAACAGAGGACTTGTCTTAACCTTTCGGATCGAAAGGTAAACTCCTTCTTCTTTATTCTTCTTCTCTAACGCCAGCAGCCTTCGGGTTACCGTCGTCGACTCCGATGATCCTTCTTCTTCTTCATTCTCTCTCATTCTCTTTCTCCCCCATTCCTCATGTTCTCTCTCTTTCTTGTGCCCCTCTCTCTCTTCGTTTTTCTCTTTCTAAATCTACTCTATATATATATAGATAGATATAGAATACATATATCCTAAACCTAACATACATCTGACAATCTCAAACTAACTAAATAATATAATAAATAATTATTTTTAATGAAACATAATATATATATATATATATATATATATATATATATATACACCTTATTATATATATAACTACTAACCCCGACGGGTCACTATCAACCCATTTTGGATCCCATTCAAATAGTCCAAGACCCATCTAGTTGTTCCATGGGCTACAACCCAAATCCATAAACTTTTAAAATAAATTAAAAATAAAATAAACAAATCATTTAACTAACACATTTAAACATTTAAAAACAATTCAATTACATAAACACTTCACATGAAATCAAATAAAATACACACACACAATTAGCCAACATAAATAATTTAATTAACCCAATTAAAATAATTAAATAAAATAAATAACCAAATAAACACACAATTTAAATATAAAAACAAAAAATCAAATAGCCAAGTAATTAAATAAAAATGCAATTAAAATACTTAAATAAACCTCTAGAAATTAGGAGTATTACATAGATAGTGGTATTGGAAGGTGGCGGTGGTAATGGTGGAGGAAGCAAGTGGCGATGACGGTGGTAATGGTGGAGGTGGAGGTGGTGTAGTTGGAAGGTGGTGGTAGTGGTGGCAATAATTGTGACGGTGGTGGTGGAAATGATGATGGTAGAAGGTAGTGGAGATGGTGGTGGTGAAAGGTCGTGATAGTGGTGGAAGGTCGTGGTAGAGGTGAAAGTCGATGGTGGAAGGTCGTGGCGGTGGTGGTGGAAAGTGGCAATAGTGTAAGTGGGGGTGGTGAAAAAAGTTGTACTTAAAAACAAAAAGTGGGGGTTTTTTATTGGCTATGCAAAAAAGTCTAGGGGTTCGAGTTTTATTGTCCTTCACATAAACTCATTATTGTTAAAACGAGAAATGCTAGGTTTCTTGAGAATGTTGACATTAGTGGGAGTGAACAACCTCGAAATTTAATTTTTACGGAAATATGTGATTTAGTTGATAGACTTATGATTAAAAAATCTTTACCTGTACTTCAAAATATTTGTTAAGATGTTATTATGGTAAAATAGGTAAATCAAGAAGTTCCCACCCACGAGGATCCTATTGTCAATGAACAAATACAGTTAAGAAGGTCCTCAAGAGTAAGAAAGCATGCAATCCCCTCTAATTATTTTGTATATCTACATGAAATTGACCATGATATTGGAAATGATAAAGACCCAGTTACATTTTCACAAGTCATGGGGGGAGAAAATTCAAGGTTATGGTATGATGTAATGTTAGAGAAACTAAACTATGGCTAAAAATCATGTCTGGGATTTAGTTCAATTTCCAGAATGGGCTAATGTAGTTGGCTATAAATGGGTTTATAAGACCAAAAGAGACCCAAAAGGCAAGGTTGAAATATATAAGACTAGACTTGTAGCCAAAAGGTTTACCCAAAGGGAAGGCATTGATTACCATGATACATTCTCTCATGTTTCTTCTTTAAATTCTCTTCGTATTATCATGGCATTGGAAACTCATTTTGATTTAGAGCTACATCAAATGGATGTGAAAACGGTATTTCTTAATAGGGACTTGATTGAGGAAGTATTCATGAAACAACTTGTTGGTTTTCATTTAGATAAAGAAAACCACTTGGTTTGTAAACTTAAGAAATTCATATATGTTGAAACAAGTCTCACGTTAATGGTATTACAAATTTCATAATATTATCTCTTCTTTTGGGTTTAAAGAGAATATTGTTGATGAATGCATATACTTTAAGGTTAGTGGGAGCAAGTTCATTTTCTTGATCCTATATATGGATGATATTTTG